ATAGTGTCGAGCCCCTATCTCCTTAGGGGCAACGGGACCCTCCCCAAAACACCCCAGGGACCCTTTCCTACCTCCCATAGCCCCCCTGTGAGTCCCCATAGAGACAAGAGGACCCTGCTAAACCCCACGGGGGCACTTCCCCCGCCCCACAGAGGCAGTGTCACCCCTCCCCATCACCCCTAGGACCCCAGTACCCCCCTCCCTGCCCCACGCACCCCACAAAGGTGTCAGGCAGCACCCCAGCCCCCGGCAGCCCCCCCCGGATGCTCAGCAGCCTCTCGCAGTCCTCAGCATAGCGCTGGGGTTGGGGGTCTCGTCCGGCATCGGTGCGGAACTGCAGCAGCACTGGGGGGTGGGGGGGTCAGGAGAGATGTGAGTGGAGGGAGGGGGGGGGGGGGGGTTGTGAGCCCCCCCAAACCCCTCGAGGATAAATATGGGGGGGGTTGGTGCTGACCTTGGAGGAGGAAGAAGTCGGGGGAGGTGCGTTTGAGCACTGCCTGCATCTGTTCGCTGCTCCAGTCCGGGTTCAGAGCATCCTTCAACGGGCAGAAATGGATGCGCTGCAAGGATGGGGAGGGGGGGAGAGAGGTTAGAGGGACTGGGGGGGGGGTTAGGAACTAAACTGGGAGGGTTGGGACCCTGCTCAGGAGAGTCAGAGCCTGTCTGGGGGGGTCTAGGACCTTGCATTGGAAAGAGATACTCCCATTCTGGGGATATGAGAGCTCATTTTGGGGTGCCAGGACCTGATTTAGGGGATCCAGATTTCATTATGGGGGTCCCTTGCCCCATTTCTGAGAGCTAGACCTCATTTTGGGGTGCCAGGATGTGATTCTGGGGATCCAGACCCCATTATGGGCATCCCTGACTCCATATTGAGATGCTAGCATCTGATTTAGGGGATCCAGGACCCCATTTGGGGGATCCAGAATTTTGGGGTGCTGGAACCCCACTTTATGTATCCAGGACCCTGTTTTGGGATCCAGGACCCCTATTTTGGCTGTGCTGGGACTCCTGCTTGGGAATCCAAGACCAGAAATGATGGATATCCTCCTCATAAGTGAGGGAAATCCTTCCCCACCAAAAAAAAAAAACGAGGGGAATCCCCCAAGAAATGAGAATCCTCCCCCAAAAATGAAGGAAATCCCTCCCAGAATTGAGGAGAACGCCGCCCCCCCTCAATCCCACCTCTCATTTCGGGTTAAAAAACAGCCATTTCCTCACTTTTTTCACCATGGTGGTCTCGGCAGCGTCCAGCTTCGCCCTCTTGGCGCCAGGTCCATCCTCCACCGCAGCGCTGTTGCCTTTGGCCACTTTCGTTTTCTCCCTGCAGCCCCAAAACCGCCACTTTCAGACCCAAATTTTCATCTCACGATATAAAAAGGCCTCTTTTTTTTCTTTTTAGCCCCCAAACGGTGCCGTTTGGCCCCCAAAAACCCACTCGACGAAGTCGTGCTCCCCCAGGTCGGCGCAGGCGTAGCCGTGGTAACCGAAGACGTCGCCGGCGAAGAACTTGACGCCATTTTGGTGGCAGATGCGGTCGATGCGCAGCATGGCGTCCCGCGAGCAGCACGTCACGCACACCTGAACCGCCTCGTTAGCGTTAATTAGCTCAATGGGCCCCGACTGACCCGCCGTGGGGCCACCTTCTCGATGCCAAGGCTTTAATCCCAGCCTTTAGTCCTCATCCCACCCCTTCATCTCCATCCCAATCCCACCCCTTAATCCCAATCCCACCCCTTAATCCCAATCCCTTAATCCTAATCCCAGCGCTTAATCCCAATCCCACACTTTAACCCCAATCCCAGCCATCAAACCCAATCCCTTAATCTTAATCCCATCCCTTAACCCCACTCCCATCCATTAACCCCAATCCCTTAATCCTAATCCCACCCCTTAATCCTAATTCCACCCCTTAACCCCAATCCCACCCCGTAATTCCAATCCCATCCATTAGCCCCAATCCCTTAATCCTAACCCCAATCCCTTAATCCTAATCCCATCCATTAACCCCAACCCCTTAACCCCAATCCCATCCATTAACCCCAA